CGATTCTTTTTTGTGTTATGCCCACTTTTAAAGAGAGTGTTGACCCATTCTCCAGATCGGCTAGCTACAAAATCATGTGTTCATGCCGTCGCTTTTATGTTGTAGTCACTTGTCGTCCCATTCGACAAAGAGTGGCCGAGCACAGGCCAGAAACGGAACATGAGATTGAATGGTCTGAAAACTTGTCGCTTTGCTGATTATGGCATGTTTGCGGCTAAGCCATCGCACTAAACCGAATAGGAATTATATTGAATGTAAGAAGATGATTAAAAATTACTTGTCATTAATTAATAGACTGAAGGATGGGGAGGGACTTGAGCCGTCTTCAAAATGGGGCTACTCAAGTGATCTTGTCTTATCATTTCTTAATTGTTGAGCTCACTTTCATTTCGAGTGGAAGTGTTTGGTGAACAGATTCGAAGGTCAATCCCACCAGAAGACGACGCCGACTTCCGCTTGATCAGTCTTCGGTACGGCTTCAGTGCAACATTCTTGTTGAAGCTGTTTCCGATGCAATCTACCTCGATTCCGGTAAAAACGTGCTGATCTCTTATCCGTCGTGTGATGAGTTGATGAGTTTTTTTTGACTCGTCAGCTTGAATTCGGTTGTTGCGATGACACCTTGCTCCGATGATGTCCGACATATGAAGGACGAGAGCTGAGCATGTTTTCGCCAGAATCTAAAGAGATTACTTCGCATCACAGCCTCAACAGGAATGTTCCAGTAAAGTCAATCGACGGCCGGTCAAGCTCAACAATTATGGAACACAAAATTTCTCGAAATTCAAATTTTCTTCGCATATTTTCTTTAATTGTTTTTATTCTGTATTTTTTTATCTACTCCTTTGTTCTCACATGAAGGCTTCAAGATCATAGACATACCCAAATGTGTGACTGATTTTACATGCTAGAAGTGTTGGTTTTATATATATTTATATAATTAATTTCATTAAATTTTGATAGCGGAGAACAGATCTTTTTTTTTTCTAATTTATGCGAGTCATCACTCCTGCTTTCGTGCATACACGAACACATAAAGGTCCATACATACACAAAGACAGCCTCGAGATTATTATGTGATTTGAACAAACCAAATCATGTTATGCCCCATCAAAAATCGTAGAATTAGGATATCTATACATCATTAATGGATGAATACGTGAGTTTTCTTGGCACGTCAGCTTGAAAATGGTTGTAAGGAGGAGACGCCCCCCCACCTTGATGACGTCCAACGTACAGCCGATAAAAGATTGGCACGTTTTCCTCGGCATCGAAGATGATTGCCTCAAAAACGGCGTCAACAAAAAGGCTCAAGTAAAGCCAATCGACATCTGGTCAAGGGGAATCCTCCGTCGATCGTCGGCTGGAATCGAGCTTCGAATCACCTTACCTCGTTTTCCAACTTGTTGTTTTGCCCATAGCAACCAGGTTGGACGCACCGTGTCCGAGAGCATTAATAATGAGCATGATTCCTGACGTTGCACCGTCGACCTGGTACATTCCCAGTCGTTTCGCCGGAAACGGTGTCGGCATCATTATCGAGTCCTGCCGTTCTCAGCTCGAAGCTACAACTCGTCAAATAGACCACTTTGAGAATGTACCATGTCGACCATCCAAAGCTGGGAATTATGATATTTACCTTGGACACATTCCGATCAGCTAGGCCACCTTGACAGCACAATCGAGTATCCACTTTAGCTGATCCAAATGAAAATGTTCCACTCTATCCGAAAATTTGCAGATATCATGTGATTTTACGAAAGCCAGACAATTTTGATTTTGCGGAATAAAGATAGAGTGGGAGACATGAGAAGTGGGCCAGGGAAGGAGAATAAAGATAGATAGATGGACGGAGAGACAGAGAGAGACAGAGAGGCTGGCACTTGTCTGGACCCCTCGGACGGACGTCTCGGACAGGCTGGCTTCATCGAAGTCGTCTTGATGACGCAATCTTGTCAAAGCGTTTTGTGTACTTCCAAAGGGGACTGTCAACAAAGTTGCAGTTATCCAAGTTTCCTGTTCGTTTTGAAGTTGCGCTACTTTTGATTCGAGTTGCGTTTTTTCACTCGCTCTCGTCATTGAAAAGCCTCCTTTCCACTCGCCAACCAACCGTCTGCTTTATGCATCATATTGTGGGCAGATTCTGTTGTCTGTGTGTGGATATATCTCACAAAACTGATCAACTGGTAGCTGCGAAAAGCCACCAATAAAAACGAAAAAAGAAATTCATTAAAGTCTGCGTCCGCCAACACTTGCAACCCCATTCGAGTTCAGACCGGCCCTCTTCGGACGCAACTGTACCTCATTCCTCGGGCCGGGCTGCCAACTGCCCTCGAGCGGCGTCCAAAGTTGCGTGTCCTGACGGAGTCGTCTCGAGTCTGGTCTATGCTCGACAAGCCCGACTTGTGTTCGCCAGCAAAGGACCGATTGACTCTTTGCTTCAAAGCAAAAATGTGTCACGAAAAGTGCAAGTTTGTTGAATGTATTCGAGTCTGACTGGCCCAAGTCGCGTCTCGTGCCGGCCACCCGGTCTGGGAAGAGAAGGAAAATGGCTTCTGAGACGACGATCAACCAATTTGGAACAACATCTTTTCTTATATAAGTAGTCAGTCAGTAGTAATATATATATTCACGCCATTTCGTTTCAGGTGATGAAGGAATGGAAGTCGAATTTTCCCACAATCGGATGAGTAGAGTTGACGTTTCCCATTGAATTTCATATAACCCTGCTCTCCCACAAGTTGTTCTCATCCCGGCCGGAGTTGACTGCACTTTCGACCTCACATCGGTCCTATCAGCGCGCCAAGCGGGAGTCAAAGGGCAGGTGTGAATTTCAACGAAGGTCAGGCCTTTGTTGGGATTGTCGATGAAGCAAACGTATTTTTGCTATAACAATCGACAACGTTATTTATTTTTCGTAGTTTAAGCAGAGTCTCCAGACTACCATTAAATCAGTAGTATGATATGTGTTCACCCAATTTCGTTTGAGATGATGAAGGACTGGAAAATTCTACTATCAGTCCTTCATCAGCTTAAATGAAATTGGGTGAATACAATCATACTACTGATTTAATGGTAGTCTGGAGACCCTACTTAAATACAAAAAAATAAGTAAATTAGTCGATTTTTATAGCAAATATACGTTTTCTTTATCGACAATTTCACCAAAGGATGTGGTATGGCAACAGGCCTGGCCGCCCTTGACAACAGGGCACTTGTGGCAATGT